TTAAAGTTGTGTCGGGTCACCTAGGGGTGCACTCCAGAGATGGCAGTTGCACCGTCTTTGAAAAATACCAAGTGCTTCCTAAAATCAAGACAAGCGAAGTGGTCGACGAAGGGTGCTTGTTACCGAATCGCAAGCGATGCCTTCGCCCACAATGAAAAAGCCTAGTCTTATCCGAACGTGTGCCATAAGACTTTTTTTCAAAACAAGTCATAATAAAATTGTTTGGAATCTATACGTATTGTAGGACCTTCATTGATCTAGACCAGGGGTGGCCAAGCTGCGGCTCGCGAGCCGCATGCGGCCCTTCGCGTGTTAAAGTGTGGCTCGCGGCTCCCTTCCCTCCCCGTACCCCCCTCCCACTTTCCCGCCTCTTTTCCAATCCACCAGCACTTCCCCAAAAAGAGAAATTGAAATCGGTTTAAATCGAAAGACAGGTTGCGGTTTGGTAGTGTTGTGCCACTGCTACCCAACGTACAGTTGGACTGCTTTTGACTCGGATAGATTGAAAATAGTTTGAGTTTCCCCCCCCCCCCCCCCCTCTCCACCCCGTGGCTCTTGGAAGTTTCGTGGTTTTGTTTGTGGCTCTCAGGCCGGGTCAGCCTGGCCACCCCTGATCTAGACCATGTAGTCCGAGAGAAACATCAGTCCACATGTTCTATTGCCCCAAGAGAAATAAGCAGTTTTGTAATCTAGGAATTAATATGTGTATTAAAACCTTTTAAACAATGTAACATACAAAAAATATTTTTTCTAAAAACCACTTCGGTGCTTCTTTAAGTATATTGATTGCACTCTTCCCTAAAATACTGGCAGGCTTTGTTACTTAATTGGCAGGCCGTGTCCACATCACAGCTCCAGCTCTTGTTTGCAAATCACATGCCCCAACCTGTGACCCTGGGTGAACAGATGAAATTAATACAGTGAAAAAGACAGACTATAAAAATATTGCAAAAGGTCCGAGCTCACACTGAGCACAAACGTCACCAGTCGAGATGTGCAGACCTTTTTGAGTCCAAGCCCGACTACTTCTTTCTTCCGAGCAATCACAATAGTTTTTTTTAAAGAAAAAAAAAACACTTGTCACTTTTCGATTATGAACACTAATTAAAACAACAGTAGTAGAAGCCAGCCAGTTTGCCGGCCATTGTCAGAACCCCAAAATTCCCCCACCCCCTGGGTGCAGCCCTGCTCTGAGGAGTCGTAGCAATACGTCTCGTGGCTCAGACAGAGCAGTACACCATGCCGTCTCAGACTTGGCAGAGCATAGCTTTTACTGCAGATTATTATAGGTGAGGGGAAAAGTATTGAGTATTCAGCACTTGGAAAGTCGGTGATAAGGTCATCAAATAATGAACGAGAAATGGTTTGTGCCAAAACTGGCACTGACTGCGAGCCGATTGGCCACCCAAGAGAGGGACGAAAACAACTTACAAAACCTTGTCACAGCTCAATTTGTTTTTATTAGTAGTACTGAATTGCTTCGAAGCAAAGTGCTCACCTGGCATACATTATATTTTTCGCCACTGTATAAGCAAACCTCTCACCTTGAAGGACCCCAGACACCAGCTAGGAGACAAAAACGGGACAACACAACACAGTCTCAAAGGCGAGGTTGTGTTGTCCCGTTTGTCTCCTAGTCTCTGGGGTCCTTCAAGATGATTACCCCCACTCGCCTGCGAGTTAACCCTTATATCAGTATAACCAAACATTGACTTCTCGATAAGTGGCGTTAAAAATTACTTTGTTCATCCTCATGGACAAGTACAAGTGCCCTAGCACCAAGAGTTATAATTGTTTAAACTCGCAGATAACACTGCGAGGTTAACATAATAGGCCTGTTTGATTTGCCTGAACTTGCTGAACTGGTTCAGTCAGAGTAGAAACTGGCGCATTTGATTTCACCGGCAATGCCTGCACAAATCCTGCACTCTCTGAACTGGGACTGAACTGGTGCAGAACGTTCCGGCAAATCAAACAGACCTAATGCAAATCTTGCAGTTCTCTTACCTGCAACGTTACCTTCTCGCGTCCGTGCATTTCTCGCTCAGAAACTTGCGAATTAGCTTTGCGCGTTTGACAGCCTGCTCCATAGGGAGAGACGGCTAATGAAGAAGCCTAAAAAGAAAGAATCACATTAAAAGGATGCCAAACCAATATACAACAAAGCTAGTTTGTCCAGGTATGCTTCATGTGCTTTGCAGTTCAAATGGGTAGACACCCATTGTGAAGTGTGACTGCTTTCTGTTGCCTGTCGTTCCTATCGTTAGCAGTAGGATGCCGTGCATAAGAAAAGAGCACTTTTTTTTTTCTTCGGCAAGTTTATATTTTAGATTTTTATAGAACAAGATACACCATTTATGGACACCTTCAAAGAAATTTGTATTGTACTGATAGCATAGGCTTGCTGGGAAAATTAATTGTTTAAAGTGCTCATAAATAATAAGCATAAATGTTACTCACTGCGCAGTACGTCCACCTTCTCTGGTGTTAAAGGGGGGAAGGCCTCTGTGTGCCCCAGGGCCTTTGCCTTGTTCGATAGTCTCCCCGTGGGGCTCTTTCCCTTCAAAACGTCCGCGCCCCAGATTGAGGTGGCTGCCTCTTTGGTAAAACGACTGTCCACCATTAGGCCATGCAAATCCTCCCACTTCTTGCTGGGAATGAGAATATGGCAACCAATGTCAACCTAGAAAAAAATTACATTTCCAAATGAAACACGTGAAGAAAATATATAGCAGGTGAATTGTTGAACTTGGCAAACAGCGAAAGCTATGGACCTGAAGCAAACTAATTGGAGTATTGGAGCAAGGCTTAATTGTGACAATGTACCATAACAGTGTTCTTGAGCTTTTCAGAGCTGCTTTTGTTATAGACGCTTTCAGCACGCGCCTGATTGAACCGCCATAGCCGACCTTCTCTTGTCTTACCGAGATGCCGAGCCACTGAAGCGGGCCTTGACGAGCCTCCACAAAGGCGTATTCTACGGAGAAGAACACAGCTACGGCTAAAATGGCAATAACCTCTCCTGCTGCAGCAATGATGAAGTGGAGCGAACGGAATAAGAGGGAACGAAAACTGAAGGTTGGTTATGGCGGCGCCCATGCACAGCTGCCTGAAAGCGTCTATATCTCAGTGAGATGGGGAAATAAATGTCTATTTAAAAGGGCCCTGCAATCATATTTAAGCGTCTACCTTTTTTGCGGTTTCCACGTCCCTCAGAGCTCAGGCAAGCCAGCGGGCACGGAGAGAGTAGCTAAATATCAGTGCATCATATTTTAACCGGACGGCGCGGAAACCTCCCCCACCGACGGAGGCGACCCGCGGTACCGAAAGCGCGCGATATTTGACGTCTTAGGTCCTGGGCTTACTACTGGTCAGAGCAGCTAAAAGCTTCTTTTTAGTAGAAATACAAAATATAAGTGGTGCGAACCGTTTCAATTATTTATAAAATTAGTTTTTTGTTCAGTAGTTTAGATCAGAAAAGAAACGAATGCAGTTTATAAAGTACGGAAACAAGAAATGACCCGTCGACATACCCGCCACCAAGCGACGGAAAAGGCGGCGCATACTAGAAAGGAGTAGTGGCATCAGGTGCCGGCACGGGAAGATCACGGATGTACGCGGCGGCGCTGCGGTCGTTTACGAACTGGAGAATCCGACCGGCTCCGAGCGTTCCGAAGGCCTTCGGCGAGCTGCTTTGTTTTGCGGTTTGACCGTTTCGCGGTATGGCAGCGCGAAGTGGCTCCCATTTGAACAGATCTTTACCCCGTCTTTGCTGTCGTTTGTGGCCAATGAAGTGTCATGCCGAATTAGTGTTTAATCGCGCAGCAAATGCAATGAGAGCCGTTCTGGCTGCCTGCTGCATACAGCCTATCCAGAATATGCTCTAGTGGCGCCCTCTCGCGCCGGCGACACGGAGTGGGGCAGCCGTGAGCGCTCGCCATGAGCCCACTACCCCTCCCCTAGTTCACGGCCAGTCAAGCAACCAAGGACGTCATGAGAGAGGTTATGTTTTGCTTGTTTTTGTAATTTTAATTTGCCTATAACTTTTAAACTAAAGCGAATTTCGAGAAAAGAAAAGTTGCACTACGTTACTACGTTCAGTGCGCTCAGGTTCGGTGCAAATTAAAAACCAGTAAAACGTCCTTGCAGGGCCCCTTTAATTGAATGTCATTTCACCGCTTGTTAAATCACCTTGTGATCCTGGTTCTGCATGTCGCGTGTGCATGCGCAGCGTGCCATATTAAAGATGCGGATTGGCCAAGCTGTAATATGTAGTTTTGCCTAAATGTCATTTAACGTGCCGTCTGAAAGGGGAATTAGCTTTCTTTTGTTTAGCAACTTGGCTTGGGTCGTTCTGTCGTGGAACTCAGCCATGGGACGAGCTGTAAGAGCATCGTCCAGTAATGTCGCAAACGCACATGTCAAAGCAAGTCGTTTTAGCTCTACTGCTAAAATTCCCATTGATTTGCCATCTTACTGGAAACAAGGGTTACATTTTAACCTTTCTGTGATGACTGTCATCATGTCAGGGGCCTAGCTCCCAAAATGGCTGCTCTATATTCATCCGTGTTGGTGTTTTTACCACCTTCATGACCAATTACAGAAACCTAAAAAAAGATGTGAAGTTATGTACGACATAATGCAGAGGTAGTCTGCATGGTGTTTATTTGTGCTTAATGTAAAATAGGACGGCAGATCTATCTAACGAGGCAGAATATCACTTTTCACAAGACTGCGACCACGGCTCTGCTATTGAGTGACACCTTCCGCGGAGCATCGAAGCCGCCCAGCATAACAAAAACGAAGGGAATGACGATGAATCAAAAATGGCCCTATAATCTCAAATTTACATCGAGTACTGGTTGTGATAGTGTGTAATCATTCATTGTCTCACAACATTTGCGTCTTTCTTCTTTCTAGGCACTCTGAAGTACCCCTACAGTTCCAGTGTGACGGAAAGGACGCACAGAGGTGTGCTGCAGGACGTGAAAGCGGCTGTGATGACAGTCACCACGAAGCACGGCATGTACGGACCGAGCCCCATTGCAAGACTTCAAGGTTTTGATTTGGTTTGGGGCATAGTGCCCAATTACATGCATTGTGTACTTGAAGGTGTTGCGAAACAACTGACAGAGTTGTGGTTTACAAGCACAGGCGCAGCTTTTTACATCGGAAACCAGATGGCTGCTGTAGACCGTAGACTGGCAATGATCCGTCCCCCAAATCTTTTCGCTAGGGCCACACGATCGGTTAGAGAAAGAGCTCTATGGAAGGCCAAAGAGTGGAGGTACTGGATGGTGTACTATGCTATGCCTTGCCTTCATAGCATACTTCCACACCACTACCTTGCACACTTCACACATTTGTGTCAGGCAGTGTTTCTGCTGTTACAGAAAAGCGTCCACAGGGATGACATCCAAGCTGCTGAAGGGCTTTTGGCACGTTTTCTCCAACAAGTGTCTGCCCTTTATGGTCAAGGTGCAGAAACCTCTAACATGCATCTACTTATGCATTTGCCCAAAAGTGTTATGCAGCTTGGCCCTCTGTGGGCTTCATCCATGTTCCCATTCGAAAGTGCAAATGGGGCACTTCTGCGCCTTGTAACCGCTGCTAAAGGCGTTCCTCTTCAGGTTGCTGAGAGGTGGGCTATGAAGCACGCACTGGCACGATTTGGTGAAATGACCAATCTCCCAGCTAACTTTGACCAACTCTTTCTCATGTTTCTCAACATTCAGAATGATTCCGAGGACGGTGTCCTGGGCGTTCCGCAGGAAGTGTCGTTAACAGCTGCTGTGCATAGCCTTCTTGAATGCCATTTTGGCCAGGTACCTACTCTTGAAAGACATCTAAGAACAAGAGTAGTGGGGTTCGAAATCCACAGTCGTGAGTACACGCGCCCTAAGAAGACATGCACACAATTTGTAAAAATGCGAGATGGTACGTATTGTGAAATTCAGGCTATCTACAAGACTGTAAGGACTGGTGAAATTTTTTTAGTCTGTAAGAGCCTGATTCTTGAAGATTTTGGAACTGGTAGCGTGAAGTACCTACATAAGTGTATTGTGCCCCCTAATGAGGAGAATTTAGTTCTCTTCTCCTCTGACCAGATTGAGTGCATCTGTGTTTTCATTGAACTTGAAGGTGAATCTTATTTGTGCGGCATGCCCAACTTTTATGAGAAAGAATAATTTTGGGGGAAAGGGGGAAGGGCTTGGAATTCATTTGTGCTTGCTACTGTAAAGGCTGGAAGCTTCGGAGGGACAGCCGGCATTTCACTGAGACTTGGCTTCATCACAAGCCGTGCCCGTGCCACACGGGCAACTCTAACGCCATTTACAACGAATGACATTTGAGCGGACGGCCAATCAGCGCGCGACACTCCGGGCATGGCACAGTCCACGCGCGACAGATTGCGAGCTGATTCGCCGATCACACAAATGTCATTCGTTGTGAATGGCATTCGAGTTGCCCGTGTGGCACGGGTATAAGCCTGTCGGTGAAATGGGGGCCAGTCTAAAGCTTTCAGGTGGTTGCTTTCTGAATTCTTGCTACTGGCTTTGACCATGCTCATGCTCTGTGTGAACTCCATGCTGCACTTTAATAAGTGAGCAGCGTTCAGTGTTTCTGCTAGCATTGTACCAGCGTGCTCTTATATTGCTATGGTTCTTGAGTTTCCTTGAAGCTTTTCAGTGAATGTGTCGGTGCATTTCATGTACCTTGATTTTGTTAAACTTGTCAAATAAAACTGACTGACATATGCACACACATTGATTCAGACTTGTGCCTATTACTTCAAATATGTAGTGAATTACTAATTTACATTAAAAGTAAATTGTTACAATTCCTGGTTGTAAACAATAATTGATTACTTACATTGTTACTTGACTGGATTAGTTTTTGTTACTTTAAGATAGACACACAAAGCCATAATTTTTGCTTAGTATTTTAAGCACTAAAGATGTTGAATTAGAAGTTGCATACAAATACGACTGGCAGGCTACAGTTTGTCTTATTTTAACAAACTTCTGTGAGTTGCTTGTAATTGTTTGACGGGTGTGTTTGAAGGCCCCACAGACATTTAAAGAAGCCTCTTAGAACTTTCTAAAGGGCATTTTAAACCCTTTAAGAAAGATTCTGACGTGGCCCAGAACGCATCAAGGAATCTTAAAGGGTCCTTCAAACCTTTTAAGAAATCTTTGTGGTCCCCCTTAGACCTTTCAAAAGGTTTTGACGGGCCCATTAGACTTTCTTAAAGGGTACGTCACACCCACCAAAACGTTTTGATGGGCCCTTTAGACTCCCTTAAAGGGTACTTCAAACCTGTTAAAAATTCTTGAAGGCCCCCTCAAACCCTTTAAAATGTTTTGAAGGACCCTTTAGACTTATTTTCAATAGGGATTTCATTATTTCTATTTGATTTTTTTATTGCAAGGCTGTATGCATCTTTAAATTTTTACATTGATTACGCATAATGCAGTCACAGTATAATATTACCGGTTAACTTTTTCTGTTTTAGAGACAACCTTAATGTTGATTAAGCCGCCTTTTTTCTTTGCACATCGTAAAATAATTTGGAAATTTTTGGGGTCAATATTAATGAAAATATAATTTTTTCTACATTTTATTAATAATTAACAAATATGGAATGCAGCATCAGTATTAGTTAATGAGTAAGTTAAGGTTTTCTCGAACAGAAACAATTCAGGTATATAATAGATCCCTTGCAGGACAAAATATGGGGTTATGTTAAAAACTAGCAAAAACGCTGGCGTTTTAGTGTGACAATTCTTTCAATTTATGTGAGATTTCATTGTTCGCAGTCTTATCTAAAATATCAGCGATACTTATGAAACGTCTACATCACAACGACTCGATTGGAACGTTTTAGTATTCTGTTCTCGCTGTGTTGTTTGTTTTAAAGAATATAATACTTCTTAATGCCACCCCCAACCCCAAAACATTATTCGTCTATCCTTCCGTCCATCTGTGCGACCATGTATTTTCCGCTAAATTTATGGACAAAATCGATATCACGAGACCAACGCACGAATTGAGTTTCTCAATTCAATTTAGCAGGAAAATTCATGTCACGTGACCTGACGTTACAGGACACACGAACCAATTCAATTTTCCCGCTAAATTTAGCCGTGAAAATGTACCTAAAGTGACCTACACACGAATTCAGTTTCCCCGCAAAATTTGGCGGAAAGTGGCACGTCACGAGACGTCACCTGACACCACGTGACCTTATACACCTTAGAGAAATTGGCGGCACGTTATTTGTATGTCAGGTGAGTTTATCCTCTAAATACAACGGGAAAATACACGTCTTGTGGTAAAAAACATCAATTCAATCTTCCCGCCAAATTTAACGCGAATCTGAGCTTTGTAAGTAATTCCATAACTTCGTAGTGCCAAGCTTTTGGTTCCTTCACCCCAATCCAGTTTTCCCGCTAAATTCATTGGGGAAAACCAACTTCACGATACCTTATGTCAGCCGACCTGTAGTAAAACTCAGTTTCGCCACTAAATGTACCAGGAAGATATACTTCACGTGACGCCGATTCGATCGTGAATTCCTAATAATGAATATTTTTGCATTATAGAACTTCGAAGGTAAAGACCGCCTCAAATTTTATTAATACGTGTACACACCTCCCTGTGCAATAGCCCTTCCAGGTCCTCATGAAAAAAATTATAATGATGTGAATTGGCTTTTAACAGGAAGCTGATTTGGAAAGGATTGTGCAGCTAAACTTTTTTGAAAAATTCAATTCATGTGTTTGTTTTTATCTAAAAATGCTTTCTTATGGAAAACGTTCTTTGCTTGTTCGCTCCTTATTTCGGGAAGCCGAATTTTGTAAAGCCGTGGCCCGCTAGGTTCCATAATGCAACGCGCGCAGTGTTTCCTAATGGGACATCATATACCTATGCACCAATTAGTTTACCCGCTAAATTTAGCGGGACAGTTCAGTTGGCGTATGGTTCACGTGACAGCAGGTCTCGTGACTTGAAGTTCCCCGCTACCTTGAATAGGAGAAATAATGTCCCGTCAACTAGGGGGGGGGGGCATCAATTAAATTTCCCTGTTGAATTTAGCGTGGAACTTAAAGTCACTTGACCTGATGTTACGTGACCTAACTGTAACTTAGTTTGTCCCCTAAATTTAGTGAGAATAATAATGTCACGTGACCTACACAGCAATTTAGTTTCTCCGCTATATTTAGCGGGGAAATTGACGTCACGTGACTTCGTGTTGCATTATGCTACAACGTTTCACAGATGCAACACAATTGGTCAGAAACTTGCCATACAACTTGTTTAGAATATGAAGAAATAATTAACGCAAAAAGAACGTAAGCAGGTGGCAAATACCCAAAACCAAATCTTTGATCGGAGATTTTTTTCGAACTAAGCCCAACGAACCTATCTATTTAGAACCTAAAGCACGTCACACAATAATATTGAGCTTTTGAACAGTGTGACCACTCAGGGGCACAATGCTTCTAGATTTGTTACAATATAAAACCTCTCATACTTTGCAGACTTCCATAATCTCGACGTTACATTTCGTTTATGTTAATAAAACAACAATGTATTAAGTGTTTATTAAACGAACTTCCTTGTAGGAAAAGAACAAAACTTATTTTCTTAAATCAAAACCAAAATTTAAGTCGGTGGACACTAATATTATCCCGAGGGAAACCAAATTCCGGTGTCTTAGAGCCGGAGAAGGAAGCAAAATATTCCACGCAAGGCTGACATTTTATTGTTCATGAAAGCAGATCTCTCAGGCATCTGCTGCGCGGAACAATTATCCCCGTAATTAAGAGTGGCAAAAAGTTCCCAAACCTTCGCCTTGCCTTCAAAGATAGCCGCATAACAATGCCTTGTAGGAACTGGTGCGACTTTAAAGGAAGGATCTAAACTGCTTTAAGTAGAGCGAAAAGCCATTAAAGAAGGATGACACTGTTCGTCGAATAAGGCGGGCGGCACAAATAAGTCAAAACGACAAAAGACTAACACAACAAGCCTAGATAATCAAGGCGCAAATAAGAGTAAAAATACGACGGTTTCAAAACAGTCGAAACTCGGAAGGCTTGCAGATACGGTTGATCAGGCGTGGTCTTCGAGATCGCTAAAATGTTGGCTTTCAGAGGGAACATAAGAACCCACCTAGAGAAAATCTAAAGAACAGCTGCAAGTACATGGCACATTCCACTGGTATACATTACATGAACGCTCACGAATCGAGAGACGTAGTCTAATCAAATGATTATCGCGCCTTGATAAAGTCAAATAAAGCAATAATTGAAAAAACGTTTGGCCAGGTTATTTTACAAGATGCAATTTGGATGTTCAAAAAAATATATCTTGACTGGAAAATATTATTTTGAGCCTTACTTCGAGCTGCAATGTGCAACAATGCACACAATGTAAAAGGACGCCCCTACTGGGTAAAATACACTGCGGATACACCCGTTAACAGCCTTAAGAACACAGTACGTGGTCAGTTTCTGCCATCGAAGCACCTGGGGCTCCATACAAAATCCGAAGAGCACCATGTTCAAACAATATTAAAACTACCTCTAGGGAGGAACCGCAGTACGGTTGTTCCCTGGACTTCGTAATTGGTAAGCTGCTAGATTCTGAGAACTTTGCGGAGGAAATGTTCTAAAATATCACCATTCCACGTTTTAAAGCTAGAATTTAATAAGCATCGGAATGCTCGAAAAACTTTAGAAGCGATCAATGAGCTCCAACTGGAGAGCGTTGCGTATCTTGTGCATTACAAACAAATTGATTAATGATTCAAAGTGTATTTGAAAGAACACTAGAATTGCCTGCGCAGTTAATTTTCATATAAACATATAACAGAGTTGTTCTAGAGGAGAGAAACAAAATTTGTCTGAACCTAACTCGGGCTTTAAGACCGCTTGATTTGTTAAGCATTCATTGTTAAATAGCGGCTGCGCGGCATTCTGGTTTTGGTCCTGGAATAAGAGCTGAGTTGAACACGAGCAGAGCGAACGTGCAACTGGGAGTAAAAGATTTTTTTCTTGGAAGCTGGTTGTCCCGTGATTGGTAAACGACTTGCACATCACCACCAAAGTAACTAAGACACTGGGCTAGAGCAGCGATTTAAAACGCAACATATTGGTGCCGACACCCGGGACTTTAGAAGAGA